TCAGGTTAGAATCCAAAGAGGCTTTGGAGAGAGTTGAAAGGGGAATCTGATTATTACGTTGATAGTCTTGCCCTTGACTTTTTTCAATGGTAAATTTTGAGTTGCCGTATTTATTCAGCCTAAACTGAAAGTTTTAATTTAGCCACCTCCTTTACATCCTTTACAAGGATTCTGATAACATTTGAAATAGCGGTTTTGCATTAACCAATAACGTGGAGAAATCTTTCCCAGGAACAGTGTCCAAGAACAATTCCATCCGGCAGTAATTTACCAGATGTAAGTAACATTCCATCTTTAATAAGACTCCGCTGAACGTGACAATTATTGCAACGAGAACCTTTCAAAGCATTGTCTTTTTATTTGTGTTGAAGGATGTTGGAGAATTTTCACATTTTCTAGAACGATTTCTTAGAATATCAATGTAGGTTGAACAAAATTCGAGTATTTAGAATTTAACTTAGATTAAAGCCCTTTGTATTAAAATTTCATTCTGACCACTTTGAATTCGTGTAAACTCCATCTTCAGCAAAAAAGCCAATATTATCATCACCAAATACATTACAGCTACGTCTGTGTCATTAAACCAGCAGACAGTTAGGAATATGATTTCCTACTGCTTACGTCATCAGTAACTTGATGACAATTTCGTTGAAAGGTGGCAGAAGTGCATGATTCAAACTGCAGTTAAGCCCTTTTTCGCGGGGAGTTTTAGCATGAACTCGTCTATTTTTCAGACTTGCTTTCCGTATCCTGCTGGATCAGAAATTTAGGCATATCAACAAAACAATCTAAGCTGTCGAAACGATTGGATCAGGTAAGATACGATTTACAGCGTTCGTGAATATCCTTTTCCAACTCCGTTCAAATTACGACTCATATATATATTATAAGAACCATTTCTTTTATTTCGTTATCGAGCTTTAAAATTCACCATCTTTCCCATGCAGCAGTTGACTAAATTTGTTGTTTTATTTCAGTTTCCTTGCTTCCTTATTGATAGAAGACTTGTGCACCACATCTTAACTGTAATTCTAACAGACCAACAGCTAAAATGTTCCCTCTGCGGCGACAATCTTAAAAAGATGGGTTGTGAACCACCAACATATCTTTCTTACTTCTCTATGATTGCATCAATGTGCCTCTCGTGCATTACCATCGCGGGAAACCTTTTCGTCTTGTTGGCAGTTTATCAAGACCCTTACAAAGAACTGCGCAAACCTTTCACTGTCTTAATGGCTAACCTGGCACTGGCAGATTTGACCGCGGGCGCCATAACAGAACCGATGGCGGTGTACTTCACATATCAGGAAGTGCAAGGAAGTGTAGTAAATGATCTGGCCGTGTATGTTACGCATTTGAGCTATTTCATGTCATGCACTACTTCAGTATTAACCCTTAGTGTTCTTGCAATTGATAGATATCTAGCCATATCGTATTCTTTGTGGTATAAATGTCATGTCACTTTGTCTTGCA